CTGATATTCTTTTCAAATATCCTTTTTATAGAAAAGAAGAAAAGTGTATATGCTGCAAAGTATTTTTTATGAGAACTCTCACTACACATATTCTTAGAAAATAAAAAGAGAATGTGACTGAAACTCAGGATTTTCTTTGAAAGAGCACCTATTTGCCTTGAAGAAAAAAAAAGCAAAGGTAAGCTGAGGTGACAGACAGCCTATCTTGAATGAAATTAAAGTGGCTGGCAGACAGAAGCTCAAACATTGCCTCTGGTAAAATTAGTATATTGGATTGAACAATTCCTACTGGCAGAATCCATGTTATAACTAGACAACTTCAAGGAAGCCATTTTGGGAGAAGATCCGCAACATATTCTCAAAATTTCTTCTGTGTCTCAGAGGCCTATCTGATTTTAGAGTGTCTAAATCTCATTTTATCCATGAAGCTGAATGGTTGACCTTGAGTTGGTCACTTTGTGGATCAAACAGAGATGTTAAGATTGAAGGGAGAGAGATGAGAAAATCAGTCCTGTTTTGTGGTGAAAAGAATTTTTTCAAGACAAAGCTTTGAACTCACATAGGCCTAGTAAATGATAAAAAGGGACATTTTGATAAGATAAGGATGTCCATTGTTAGGTGGCAAATATTTTAGAATAATCTGTAGGAATGCTTTATATTTATGAGGCTTTTAAGACACAAACTACAAGCTTTTTTTGCAGCACATTTGTGGCTCTTCCAATTTGTTCCTTTATTTCTAAATAATAAATTCTAAAGCTGAATTTCCCCTAGTTTCAGCAGCTGGAGCTTTATAGAAAACAAGACAAAACCTTAACTTAAGGGAATCAGAAAGCTTATGTAAACATGAAATATCCCTGGTATGAAAACTTGGTCATGCAAGCCCAGTATTTCCTTTTCTGAGAACAAAACACATTTATTTTGAATTCTCTAAAAAGAATTAAAGTTGAAACACCTCTTTATCGTAGTTTAAAAAAACCTTGATTACATTCTAAATTTAATTATAAATATAAAATATGATAGCAAGAAATGAATTCCTTTGGCTTTTTATTTTTAGCCTGTTGGAGGGGATAAGCTAAGATCAGGCTATGAACATTGGGTTGGTCTGCAATAAGAAACTAACATGAGATACAAATAAAATAGCAATAACACTTCGACTTAGAAACCACTTCATTATGTTTTAAGCCCTCTCTAAGTGGTTTACAGAATCAGCCTATTGCCCCCAACATCTGGGTCCTCATTTTACTGACTTCGGAAGGATGGAACACTGAGTCACCTTGAGCCGGTGAGAATTGAACTGCTGGCAGTTGGCAGAATTAGCCTGCAATACTACATTCTAAGCACTGCAACACCACAGCTCAGTAAACCTGATCTAAAGGAGTCACTTTATTTTTCATAATCCTCAACCAGATGTTCCCATTGCCCACTGAAGGGTTTTATTCCCTCTTGTGCTCCTTAGCAGCTGGCACAATGGGGTATGTGTTGACTTCTTCCATTCTTTATAAAAATATCAATTTTATATGGTTGCCCATCTCACCAGAAGTGACTCTAGGTAGCATATTTTTATTTTACTTATTTTGTCTAATCTGTATCCGTAAGTAATAACCACCATGGAAGATATCAGACAAGTAGCTATTGTCATAAATAGCCTTTGACAGATGTCTCCTGTATGAATGTGTCTAATCCCATTTCATGTCATCTAAGTCAATGCCCATCATCACACATTTGGCAGAGACACAGATTTAATTTTATTGCCCTAGTGAGTTCCACAGATTTAATTATCCTGGATGTAAAAAATGCAATGCTTCACTGTGAAAACACAGTCTTGAAGTCCTCATCTGCGTAAACAGGAGGATTTACCTGTTAAACAAATATGGGATATATTATTTTATTCTTCATTTGGTCAGGTTGGTTGCTAGTTCTAGTTAACGTGATACCTGGATCATAAGCATAATGTATATATAAAAATAAGCCTTTCATCCTGGATGTGATTCACCCAGCTTTTTCTCCATTATTACGTAAAGCTTACATTAGAAGGAGAGGCAATATTACTTCACACAAGAACAGTGTATACAGTACATTCATAACTAAATAATGAAGCTTGTTTCCACAAGGTTTGTGAAGGACAGCAACTTATAATGCTTTGAAAAAGAATGAGATGCATTCATGGAAGATAAAGCTGTAATTCACAATATTACTGAGCCATAAATAATGAGGGAATGCTAATATTTGCCTCCTGTTTATATAGTAACTTCCCTATGTTTAGTCACCACAGGAAACCCCAAATCCAATAAAAACCTTTAGTCTAACCCTCTTGATCTCCTTCTGCTCTCTTCAAATAGGGATTTCCAATTTTTACCAATTGAACTGGGAACAAAAGCATAATCAGGAAGAAAAAGGTTGATAGCATGAAGGCAACTACCGGTAGTTTTATTCTAGAAATCCAAAATAGGTCCATTTTTGCCCCATAAGGTACATAAGTAATTTCTAGCCTCTGAACTAGATTCCTCAGAGGCAGCTTTACCTTAAGTGCTCTCAACATGTCCTAGCAATTTGAGATTTTATTTGGTCAAAAATGCCTGTCAAAATGGACCACCAGGTTTGTAAATAGGGAAATAGGTGGGTTATTTTATTCACATTTACCCATGAGAACTTCTCCAAACAAGTGCCCAAGGGCAGGACTTCCCCAGATATCAGGGTAGCTGTTCTGTTCAGTAGGAAGCAGATTCCTCCCAAGGTCTTCTCTTGGGGTTATGGAAACATGGAAAGTCTATGAGGTTATGAACACTGGAGAGGATTGTCCAAGGGAGACCTTCATAACTAAATCAGTGCAGGACCACATGGAATGATTTATCAGAAATACAGGTAGTCCTTGACTTAGGACCACAGTTAAGCGGAAAAATTATGTTGCCAAGTGAGACAATTGTAAAATGAATTTTACAATCTTTCTTGCCACAATTAAGTGAATCTCTGCAGCTGTTAAGTTAGTAACATAGTTGTTAAGTAAATTTGGCTTCCTCATTGACTTTGTCAAAAGGTCATCCCAACGGTGCTTTTTTCAAGAGGCAATTGGACTTTCTGACTTTTCTTTGAAGATGTTTCATTTCTTATCCAAGAAGCTTCTTCAGCTCTGACTGGATGGTGGGGAATGGAAGGGTTTATATTCCTTGCAGACAACTGGTCATTTGCATTCTTTTAGCGGTTTGTTAAGGTCACGAGGGGCGTGGTGGCTCAGTGGCTAAGACAAGAGGTTGGCAGTTCAACAGTTTGAATCCCTAGCTCCACGTAACGGAGTGAGCTCCCATTACTTACCCTAACTTCTGCCAACCTAACAGTTCAAAAGCATGTAAAAATGCAAGTAGAAAAAAAAGAGACCACTTTGGTGGGAAGGTAACAGTGTTCTGTGCACCTTTGGTGTTTAATCATGCTGGCCATATGACCATGGAGACATTTTCAGACAGTGCTGGCTCTTCGGCTTTGTAACGGAGATGAATACTGCCCCCTAGAGCCGGAAACACCTAGCATGTATGTGGGAGGAGAACCTTTACCTTTACCTAAGGTCACCTGGAAGTTTATCTGTGTCCTCAGGATCACCTGAGTGGTGCAAACTGGTGTGAAGCCTTCTTGGAACTGTTGAAAGGCTCCACACCAATTTGCACCACTCAGGTGACCCTGATGACACAGTTAGACCCTCAGGTGAGCTCAAGAACTCTCTAAAAGGATGCAAATGATCAGCTGTCTGCAAGGAGTATAAATCCTTCCATTCCCCATCATCCAGTCAGAGCTGAAGAAGCTTCTTGGATGAGAAGCAAAATGTCTTCAAAGAAAAAACAAGAAAGTCCAGTTACCTCTTGAAAAAAGCACCTTTGGGACAACCATGACTTGGATGACTGAGAATCTCCATAGACATTTGTCAAAAGGTTGCAAAAGGGGATCACATGGCCCTGGGATACGGCAACCATCATAGGTAATGAGTCAGTTGCCAACAGTCTGAATTTGGTCATATGACCATGAGAATACTGCAACAGGGTCCTCATGGTCACTGTGAAAAAGTGTGGAAAATGGCCATACGTCACTTTTTCACTGTTGCTGTAACTTCAAATGGTCACTAAATGAACTGCTGTAAGTTGAAGTCTACCTGTACTCTTTTCCTTTGGTCAATTTCTTTAAAGGAAACCCTCTCTCTTTAAAAGATATGACAACTGGTATTAAAAATGAAGGATTTTTCCCCTCCTGGCAGTCACTCCATCACTATGGAATCTTCCATCACTTATGACAATCTTTTCTTAGCCTCAAAATAACAACAATAACTATCATTACCAACTGATGTTAAAATATCAGTGGCCAGATGTTAGTGGCCCAAAGGTCTTCTGGTATGCTATAGGCATGAGCTACAGAGAGACATCACTTCTTTTTGATAGACCTTAAATCTTCTACAGTTCTCCAAGAGAAACATTAACAGAGAAACAGAAGATTGTCTCCTTATAGCTGGTGAATTTATACAACATCCCACTTCCAAAGCTGATTCCTTCCAAATCCTGTAAGCTCTACTCTTGATGTCTGGAAAGAAAATGCACCCAGAATTCCAGGTTTTGTCAAGAGAATGTAAAATAAAACCAAGAGAAGAATTGGTGGCAGAGGGATATAATTGTCGATGGTTCTCCTATCTAACACAGATTCATAATAGACAAAATAATTTATGGTTCTGGACATCGTAAGACTGAGTTTGAAAAAAGAATTGCATAGCATTGATGAACATGCAATTGCTACAATTTATAACCTTGTATTGAAATTTAAAAGAGAAGAAGAATGAGTAAAGATAAAGTGGGCTAAAATTTTTGGTTGTAATATACAGATGGAAGTATGGGAAAATATGTGGTTGGAACGATTAAAATGTACACTGCCCCTTCTTGCTTTTCTCTTGCTCTTTGCAATACTGTAGCATGCCTATAAATATTGTAAACCGGAATGGTGTGCTTACAAAAGGAAACATGAATACTCACCTGTTGGGGTTCTTGATAAGGGGGAGGGGGTACAGTCTGTGTGGCCATCATTGTCAGAGATGGCGCTGGGGAGACATGTTGCATCATGGGATTGATTCACATCTAGGACCTATTGACAGAAGAAAGTTCAATTGTTACAAAAAAAAAAAGGAGAAAGGAGAGGAGAGGACATTATTAGCATAAGAGCCACTCAAGTCATCTTTCCACAGTAGATTGACAGAAAAATTTCCAATTCTGGTATCTTTCTGATATGTAAGAAAAAATGTTTTAATGCAAATCCTGGGAACTACCTTTAAATATATGCTTATTGAAAAAGAATTATCCTGTAGGAGGTGTACTTTTTTCTCTATTGCAATTACATGATTCCAATTTTTTTAAAAGCACTCCTTATGTTGTTAATGGCGAAGTCATGTCTGACCCAGCACTCCTTATAGAAAGGTTTAATTCAAACATCAGTAGATTGATGACAATAATGGCCCCAAACAAATCATGAAATATATTATTTTTCATTGTTGCTTTGGGAAAACTGTCAGATGCTTATAGATATGTATACAAATGCATATATGTATTTATACATATACTCTCTCTTTCTCTCTCTCATCAATCTATCTCATATACACACACACACACACACACACACACACACACACACACACCCCTATTGTGCATGAGTGCTTGTGTTTCATGAGTTTCATTCTCTGCATGAAACAAGGAAGCATAATTAATATTTAGGTGCAGCCATTTCTCCTAACAATTCCAAATGTGTACCACTTAACATTAGGGTTATAAATCCACTGTAAACAGCACAACATTCACGTCATTTGATATTCACTAAGAGGCAAGATGTTTCTGGATGCAAAAATCTAAAAGAAAGACCCAATTATGCATTGTAATCATTCTTTTTCTTTTGCCAGAATGATGATGGGATAAAATATCAGGATTCATTTCTTTCAGCAAGAGAGGAGAACCTTGCGTGGCTTTGAAGGCCTGTTTTAATTAATAGCCAAGGTACCAAAACTCTTGAGATTATTCCCATCAGACTGAGTTTAAATTATCTACCCTTGCTGATACAAAGTTTGATTTTAGCAGAAGTTGGAATATTTCTTCCTTTGTGAAATATATTTAGAGGTTCATTATTTTTAAATAGTCCCAATGATGAGCCCAGAACCTAAACAGAGAAATGAGAATGGGATGGTTAATTCTAACCATATTTAATGCTAATCGCACTACTCTCACAAGGTTTTTTTTTCAAAAAAAATTTCTCTAAGAAATTTAGAGTGGTGTGAAGGTCCCTCCATCTCCAGAACAATCTGATGTTTCATTGAAAGTTAGAAATCTAAACTGAAACCTCACTACTTTTAGACTGTTACTCTACCATCCTATCAGCCAGCCAGAATTATTCTGGAATTGGGTGGTACCTGAATCCAATACATTGAACTGAAGTTTTCTCCAGGGTCTGTGTTCAAAGGTGTTATGTGTGTACAATATGTAGATATAATACAGACACACACATACACACATACAATATCTTGGTATTGTATACAAGAACCCTGGTGGTGCAGTCATTAGAATGCATATTGCAGGCTAACTCTGCCCACAGTCTGGAGTTCAATCCTGATTGGCTTAAGGCTAACTCAGCCTTCCATCCTCTTAAGGTTGATAAAATGAGGACTCAGTTTGTTGGGGGCAATTGGCTGACAGTGAACAACCCAGAGAGTGCTGTAAAGCACTATTAAGCGTGCTATTACTATATACATACACAGGCACCTACACTTACACCAGATCTTACCTAATACTGAAATTTCCACAACTTCTACAAAACTTTTATTATGTAGGAATGAATTGGATTATTATCAATAAAGTTAATTTTGAAAACTGCCCTGCCCAAACAATCTGCTCATTAAAGAAGCATTCATTATATCCTGTTGATATGAAACCCATTAGGCCAATTAGTATCCCATTAAAATGACACTAAGTCTTCCTCAGAGCAGCAACGAGTTAATACTGCATCATGTTAATTGCTCTGTGAGCACTTGAGAGGTGTATCCTCCAATGCAGGAATTAACAGCACACTCTCCCCTCGAGAAAAATAAACCAGATCTAATTGTAAAGCTTGAAGGGACTCGTTCCAGGCAAAATAAGACTTCAACATTCTTTCATTGATATAGTATCGCTTGTTACTCATACCAATTTTCCCCTATCTGTTGGCTTACAACCATGCTAGACTTCAACTCCCAAAAATCCAAGCCAGAATGTTCTTTGAGGAATTAAAGTTCAACATATATGAAAGACAACAGATTGGGGAATGTTGATAAAACCTATTACCCTGACAGATATAAATGCTACATTCTCTGCTTCAATGGAACTAACCCAGTGAAGACAAGTTTGCTTTTAAGAGGAAGAAGACAAAAGACTGTAGAACATGTTAAGGGAACCTGAGTTCCTAAGAAATATTTTATATACCAGTTTCCCATTTTTTCTGCCAAAACATCTGGATGGAAAGTAAATGACCACTATTTTAATAGCACTATTAAAATTGACAATACAAAAAGAAAAGTATATCATGGATAGTTATTATCCCAAGCAAACAAAAATTCTATAATTTTATTGTTATCAGTCCTAAAATTCTTTAGAGTTTAATTCATCTCCAGTCAATGTAGCACTAATGAATTCCTGGCTCTAAGCCTGCATAACTTTGGACAAAGTTAACAGTTATTAACAGGCGGCAACTCAATACTCCTTATAAGGAAGTCCTACTGAACAATGAGGGGTTACTTCCAAGGAAACAGATTTAGCAAATAGCTAAATTAGAACCTTGATTTCAAAAAGGATCCATCAAGCTACGGTAAATGTGGATGCTAAAACATTAACTGAGATTTCCCATGGTCAGCATATCATTCCACTCCTGTCAGGTATGAAAGATTAGATCCACACAAGAAGGTTCGATTAAACTGATTTATTGCTAGTCATGCGGATGGCACAGGAATCTTCTCAACTAATGATTACCACCTGCTAGGAGTTAGATTAAGATCAACAGAATTCAAGGGGGGTTGTGGATTTAGTTTACTTGTGGCTACTTAGGATTTCTAGGCTGATCCCTCTTTTAACTCCACCCCTCTTTCTTCTAAAATTTCCCTCTCTAAAATTGACCTGAAAGATCCTGAGCTATGAAGCAGAAAAGTCTTACGGTAAAATATTTTATTAAGAAAACATTTTAAGATTTTAAATTCCAAATTCTAAATGTTAGAATCTGGACACTTATTGCATTTAAAAAACAATAATGGCAATGCATATTCAATTTTCTGGCTTGGAAAACAAAATTTTGTAATGAAAGAAAAATGATGAATTTCAAAGATATATTCCTCTGAATTACATGAGGATAATGGAGTAATACCATTTGACTTACTGCTACAATTGGTGATGCCAGTCTTCAAAATAATGCCATAGGAAGTAATAAATAAATGACATAAACCAAAGGAAGTAAAAATGTTACTTGGCTAGGCACCAATTAAAAATTTATCATCAAGTGAAAGTCAGGATTCTCTGTCCAGAAAACACATGGAATGTAAGTTGTTCAAAACTTAGGAAACAAGTTTAAACATTTTGGTTTTCCTAAGTCTTTTGGCTATAATGTCATGGCTTTCCACCATCTTTGACCGTTACCAATTTTAATGATTGCTCTTTAAAATGTGTTCCAAGTAAGTTGATTTATAGGAATCTTTTCAAAGTGCTCAAGTGCACTAATTTATAATAGCATTTTGTGTAGATGCTGCAATTGAAAAATAAGATAGAAATATTTTAATAAACCACTCTCCCTTGAACAGTCAACCCAGTGCATCAACAAAGAGAGCAAACATGGGCCACCAAACAAAGAGCGAAAATTAGCATACTAAAAATAATAATTAGAAACAAAACATTGTGTTGTATAACAATGAAAGAGAAAGGAGGATATTCTTCCACTCGCCCAAAACCACAATTTCGGCTTTTTACTCTATAATTCTATCAAAAGTATGGATTCCTGAGTGTGCAAAGTTAAAGGTCACTTGGAAAGTTTCTCTCAGAAGTGAAAGTAGGACTTAATAAAGATAATTTTTAATAAAGTGAAAATGGAACCAAGGGAAAGACAACAGGGACAGAAGAAGAACCTGACTTCTTAATTTCCTTACCCAAACCAGGGATGTTCAAATGCTTGGACTGCTACTTAATAGAATATTTTTAACCAGCTTGGCTTGAACTGAATTTTGAGGGTTGATTTCCAGAGAAGCTGGACATGAAGTAGTGAAGACTATCTGATATTCTATAGTAGAGATCTACAAGCTTGCTTGCTTATTTATTTTCTGGGCTTCTGTGCTGCTTCAATCTTTAATAACTCTGAATGGCTTCCATACCCTATGTTTTAAAATGACTTCACAAAGTAAACAAAACACCCAGGATCCAAAAAAAATGATTCAATTTCTCGCAAAAGGTAAGTGGAAAAATTCATACTCTACCTGTCCATAAGGCCTATTGTTAAAAAGAAAGAAACTCAATAGGGTTGGGAAGAATATGGGCTGTACTTGAGGGATATGTTGAGGATGTGCTCTTAAACCTGGGTTGAGTCGGTAGGGCAAATACATCAATTTGATGAATGAACATGAATGTAATTGCTCCATCTCTACTACTGATTACTTTCTCTCTTTCGTCACAAAAACAATTCAGTGATAATTTTAGGAGGAAGCATTTAAGGTTGGAAGATGCAATGCTTGGAAAGTATTTGACACTCTACTATCCCAATGAATAAAGGCTGCTATATTTCTCAAGGAGCATGTTAAGATCCCTGATTTTTCCTTTTATTAGAACTTGTGATGCCGTGAGTTTGACACCACTGTTGTAGACTCTATTCATAGAATTTGCTACTTGATCATCTTAATTGCAGGTGTCTGAGATTTTTGGTAAGTGCTACAGCTAAGTCATGAGCTCAATGGAGAGCCAGCAGTTGGCTAAGTGATTCTGGGCAAATCTATTTTCTGGGAAAGATATTCTGCTTGGTACTTGGGATTTATGCTAATATTCCCTTTTCTCTTCCCCTTTAAGGATCCTTCTGAGCTAAGTAAAGAAAATGACAATCTT